ACCGAATATCACTTTTTAAGACGTGATATTCGATAGTTTAAAAGTGATATTCGATGGTTTGTGAATTTTTTGCTAAAATATTATAACTTGATCCACATATCAAATATATCTTCATGTGATATTCGATCTATATCCTTGCAACCATGGGATAATCACTGATATGCTTAAGACCAAAAACCTATAAAGAATGTTATTATTGAATACTGAGAATACACTGTACATTGTTTTTACATTACGGAGCTTTATTTCTACCTGCTGAAAGTATTTTGGAACATATCTCTTGCTTAAATATTTCACGCAATGTTACTTTCAAAAACTTTCTTAGAACAATTAGTCCATCCTATACTTTCACATGTTATTCTCCATTTCGTTTTTAAAAATTGTGGGAGCTTTAAACTCTAGAAGAGCTTAATTACCAATTATACCATGCACCCTCTTTGCCCTCCGTCGCATTTTTCTTAGAATGGCCAGGCATATTTCAAATTGAAGAGTAAAGTCAGTTAAAGTGATATATAGCTGTATATAACAACGTATCTTTCACTTGATACTGTGATGTCAAGCTTAAGCATTTAAACAGTGTATTTTGTCCCAAGATACAATAAAGTACTGATTTCATTTATTTATCAATTCAGATGCCTTGGAATTAAAGTAAACACTTGGTATATATTACCAATATTATTTTTACCTATTATTGGTGGTACAATGACCAGGTTTCCTTTAATGTCTTTGGTCTTACTGTGCAGTTTTGTAAAAAGAAAATTCAGAAAGTTACAGTCTTAGATGAAAAACTGGTGAAAATCATACTTGCTACAGCTTTTCCCATTTTCAGAAGCCAATAGATCTGTACTTCCACTTACTATGACGTTAAGTCTTCTCATATGTATTATTGGTGGTACTAACTGGAGGCAGAATCAGAAATTATGTCAAATAAAAGTAACATTTAAGAGATAAATTGTTCTGAATAGTGCATCTTTCATATTTTTCACGATATCTATAGGTTTTTTGTCCTTTTGCCTCTTTTTAAAAGTACATGCAGAAGTGAATATTTGATCTAGAGCTCTGAAACTTCCAATATCAGAACTTGGTAGCATTATGTCTTGGTATCTTATGTTTGGGGTCTAAAAAAGTCACAGATGTTGAGAAAAATATTCATTAAGCAGCAGTTTCAGTTCAAAGTTAGTTAAAACTGCACTCACGACAGCTTTCTCTATTTTTGAACGCCGATAGATCGGTAAGTATTAGTATTAGGACCTTGAAACTGCTCATATTATGTAGTCTTTGTGGTACTTTCTCATTGCAAAGGTAATTTGGAAACACTGTGACTTACATTTCATGCGTTAGTGAACACTGAAAATGAACCAGCCTATTAGATTTCATCATGATACATTGTACAAAATTGAAAATGTATATATAAAATATGTAAAGTCCTATATTTTAGTAATGAATGAATTACAATGTCAAGTAACAAGTGAAAATGTTAAAAATGCATTGATTTGCTTTCTATCAATAAAAGTTTTTAATTGTATGCTGCAAAATGATAACATTGACCACGCCCACTTTCCAGGGGTAGGGTACTATAAAGTCATATTAAAAATCATAAATAGAACATTATCATTATTATAATTGTATTACAATATCAAACAAAGCTTGAATTAGTTTTTAGAAAACAATTTTGAGCTATTTAAGCTGCCATCTTTTGCTGGAAGCTACAAATATAAGATAAGTGAGACTTGAAAATGACTAAAATTGCATATTTTTTTTCCTATTAATTGCAATATTTCTGAGACTAATACAGATATCGGCCTATAACTTTAGGATATTATTTATCTTTGGACTAGTAATGTGTGCTGTAGAAAACAGAACAATAGCAACTATATCCTTTATGTTATGAAATAGTCTTATAGTACCCCCTGAAATCGCAGGAATTGAAGTCCAATTTGGCCGTGAAAATTGTTTTTACCACTTTAAAGGCCATCACCTTATATTTTCTTACACCTACTAGGTTACTCTAACATACTGCATTGCCAAAAGTTACTTCTTGCAAACTTCCGGCAAAACTGTGCCAGCATCTGATACATAGTACATATTTCAACATGTTCAATATCAGGCAAACATCAGCGATTCCGACTCCCGGGTTCTGGGAAATGGCTATATATAAATCGGCGAGAGGGTGTTATTTAAGGAGGACAATTTAAGGAGGGGAAATATGTCCAAGTATGCCAGTAAAAGAGCAGATATGGACTTTAGACAAGTACTATGACGGAGAATAAAAAAAATGTGCGTTCTGGAATGAAGACCCGTTGCCATTGACTGAGAATCCCAGCGATCCTATAATCCTACTCAGTTTGAATTTAGACGCGGAAAACAGGTTATGAAAACGGGCTCTCTGCAAAGTTATCAAATTTAGAAAATATGGATCTTGTTTTTGAGTGGCTTAACAAGCATTCGGGTACAAGACTTGGCGCTATCTCTTGTCAAATACACGCAGACTTGCAGTAAATTGGCCATTGCAAATTGCAAAATCAGATCGTCAAATTAATCGCTTCGTTTTTAAACGTATGCTTCATATCTTCATCCAAAACTTTAGGATTCGATAGAGATAAGTTAAAATTTGTACAGGAAGAAATGGGAGATCCTACCTTAATTTAGAATCGCTGATTTCTCTGGACAAATTCCGAGAAGAAATTGTTCAACATCGCGATCAGCTCAGACTAAACTTACATGTCGTGCATGTCACTCTGAACTCACGTGATAAAATACGGCATTTTGATTGGTTACTACTCGTGTTGTCATGACGCGAAAAACAATAGTAAACACTGAATATGTTAATGAACTGTCATATATGGAGCAATTGTCTTTCTGATTGGTTAACTTTACACGCCTCCTAAATGAATATAGTAGTCGTAGTAAATGATTCATTGATAACTCTGAAAGTGGGCGTGACCAGCTTTATTTTGACACCAAATTCAAGATGTTTCAAATAAAAATGGCCTTGCAAGACGAGGTTGAAATATCGGCAGTTTGATACTGATATGGTCTACGATAGATCAAAATTGACTGCCCCGCGTCATATGTCACGTGAGCCTATATTTGTTGAAAAATCAAGGAGGATTGGCTCCCAGAATCGAAGTCGATATTTTCCAACAATGAAAACGCCGAGATGTCGTTATTTTCTGAAATTATAACCGATTATAAATTCAAAATAAACAGTTCAAAAGATTCGAACCAATATCTCAATCATTTCCTGTGAGTTTTGGAATTTTTCGTTAGGAAATAAGACCAAAATTTACGATTCAAATGTTGAAGTGAACAAAATGGCGGCTGTTGGAATTCAAATTTTGTAGCACGACATGCCCATATATGGGACAGAATATCGATGTTGCACTCTGGGAGCCAATCCTCCTTGTTGAAAAATGAAAGAGATAGTGACACTTTTTAATCTTAAGTTAATACCAATATTACAAACACGTATCTATTTTTTTCATTAAATATTTATTTCTTCATTATACATACATTTGTTTTACACTGCATTGATTTATTTTTGCAAAACCTTTGCTATTAGATCTTTAAACGTTATTTCTAGAGTTGATTATGCAACCAAGTGGCTCGATGCAGTAATCGCTAGCACTGAGATTGGATTGAATAGTGTATTAAAATGCTAGTCAACGTGTTTGATAACTTTGATTGGACACTTTAGATATTTAGCTTATTAATTTTGTATATATATAGTGTTCACTGCCCATCCATTGAGACACTAGAGTGTGTTATTGTCTGTACGCGTGGATATAATTTATAAGTTTACACTCATCGTCAAAATCCTGTCTTTTTATACGTTTTAAACTTATATCTCAATTAAAACTTTCATAACATGTATTTCATGTATAATTCACTCGTCTGTGTTATGAACCACGTTAAAGGGTCTTGTGTGTAGAAGAGCCACAAGAGCAATGTGCATGTATTGAGTTGGTAATGTACACATTACAACGATGCGACGGATATTACATTCGCAGTTATGCCTGAGTCACATTTGTACCGATCTACTTCTTGTGTCTTAATTGAACTTTTGTCATAGGTAATAAGACCCAAAGTTGCGATTAAAATTTTGAAGTGAGATACGGACTCTTGGATTGACGCTAGCTTTTTTGGAAAATATTGATGGTAAACCCTGGGAGCCAATCCTCCTTGTGTCAAATGGGTACAATGGGAGCAAGGACTCATATAGACACGGGGTACCATCGAATAATTTTGGCATTAAGTACTAGGTTGTTGTTCGCGTGTAAATATTACTACTTCAAATTCGCTACATTTATCAAATAAATATCAATTTTCCTTCATTATCATTAACAAACGTGTTTTAAGATTCAAAATCATAAGATTTTAGATGTTTTCAATCAAATTTGTCTTGAGAGATTTTTGGAGTATTTTTTCATGTTAAGTATGCTATTAACCCACTGAATTTTATGCCATCTATCGACAGTCCCAGGCCCGTAGCCAGGGGGGGGGGGGGTTCGCAGGATTCGGGCGAACCCCCCCCCTGGCCAAAAATTCTTTCAAAATCATGCAGTTTTTCACCATTTTGAGCACTTCTCAAGTGATTTTAGCCATATTTGGGCCAAAATTGTCAAATGTGAACCCCCCTGGATATTTTTGAAAAATGAACCCCCCCCCTTGGCAAATCCTGGCTACGGGCCTGAGTCCTGAAGGTCATTCAAGAAGTACTACTAAAATAAGACATCTATACATCTATTTAGGGTCCCAGGATGTATTGCCCCCTGGACCATATATTCAAGGAGACTCCATTTACTCAGACACAGGTGTAAAGGTATTTCTGGTCCTACCGAAATATGGTGCATAGCACAACATTTAACATTTGTGTTCTTCAAATAAGCTAAATGTACATTTCTAAATATAGTTATAATTATACCAAAGAAGAAATATATATGAAACCGTCAAGGTTGAGTGTGTACTATGGTTGAGTTTAATTGACCAAGTAAAGGGTTGAGTTAAATGAGGGCCGAGTTTACTAGCTAAGGTCTGGGTTGAATTTATCTCTACAAAAAAAGTAACTAATTTACATTTAATCCTAAACATAACTTTAATCAAAACACCAAGAAACATGGTTTATTTATAAGCCTTAACTAGTTTATTCACAAATACCACGTGATACAACATCAGTTTTATCTGGTACATGTAATCCATGCATAAACCTCAATTTCATTCATTTTCACATTTGTGTATACCCGTACCTAGGTGAATCTTTTCTGAAGTTAATGCATCTATCAAATATACACATTTATAAAGTATGATCAAATATACACTCCCCTCCAAAAGTTTGGCAACTTTAGCACCCCCCTCCCACCCCCATTGAACTACGTGTTGAAGCCGTTTATATTTGAATTCTTATTTACACAACCTGTTTGCAATATGCAATATAAAACAATCAATAATGCAATGCAATATAAAACAATCAATAATGCAATTGCAATATAAAACAATCAATAATGCAATGCAATATAAAACAATCAAAGTGGAACACTGGATTTTCAAACATTGGAATAACCTTGAAACACCTTCTACAGTGAGATATTCTAGGGTACTTAATTACGTTTTTATATAAATCTGAACAAAATGGCACAGTTCAATAATGAGGGAATCAGGATTAGTTCTTGTGTTTAACTCTTGGCTCATCTCAGTCATCACGGACAACAAACGACTTTCCTCTTTCTTTGTCCTCGCCTTTTCATGGTCCCCTTCTGGACTATAAAATGAAACATGTATTGATTGTAGACATCTGCAATCATTAACATCATAAAAATGATTGATTAGCTATAGTTTTAATTTGTATAATTTAGCGGGATGCAACTCTATAAATTGGCAATTGAACTAGTTATATATTTGAATATGATTTAATATAATTAGCATTATTCATTATGATTTGAAATGCTTTAATATGATTTATACGAGGGTCGATCATAAAGTTCTCAAAATATCTCGAATATATCGATTTTCTTTATATTTCAATATTATCTTTTGAAAGCTTCACAGAATGTACATCATTGAATATTTTGTTGTTATTTAGAATACCAGAAACAGTAGATTAGAGATGGTTGCCATAGTAAGTTCAAAATCAATGTACCTGGGGCAAATAAAAACTAGCTACAATAGGACCCATTCATCACGTTTGAATGTATATTAATATATAGTAGCCCGGACAGAATTGTTCAATGGTCACTTTTTCTTTTATAACTTTTTTAATTTTCAGTATTATCAAAATCTGATTACATATTTGAAAACTAGATTAAAATTCTGACATACAAAAAAAATATTTTAAGAACATCTCTTAATTTATGGATATTATAGGCGTTCATAGTATGAGTGACGCAAATACATAATTCACCATTTTGTCTCATATTTGTTCAAAAATGGCGGCATGTTTTGTGGTTTGAATGTTCAGTTGAAAGTTAATGTTCAAGAAATGTCATAGGCCTACGAAATCATGTAGACTGCTGCCTTGGTATGGGGTAATGACTCCATTTATAACCTTTTGTTTTAAATTGACTTGTATGTATACCAGTACTTAAAAAGGTTTTTACATTGTATGTACAGTATATTGGTAAGGTCACAGGACTTAACGTTTTTCGGCCATTCCATTGTTACTCGAAGTGGATTAGCAACCCTAGTTCGTTTAACCTGTGCAACTATAGGGTCATACTGCCACAGTTTATAATGTCTTTCCCAGTCACACGCCTCTTAACCCATCCTTGGCATGCATGTGAATTGTTCTTCAGCTTTTCAATGGCCTCTGAGATAGCTGTTTGGAGCTCTTGAAAAGATTGAGGACCTACTCTCATCACACCCCGCACATTGGGGGGCCACCTTTTCAAATCCTCTTGAACACAACCCCGAACATTTTAATACAGTTGATTTCATATACCCTCGGAGGGAGTTAATTTCTTGTATTTGATGAATGGTCAGTTGCTGCTGCCTTACATCAGGATTGTTACGGTGGCAGCATGGCCCTATAGTCCTATGACAATCTTTAAATATTAACTTTCAACTGAACATTCAAATTCACAAAATATGCCGCCATTTTGAACAAATATGAGGCAAAATGATGAATTATGTGTTTGAGTCAGTCGTACTATGAACACCTATAATATCAAATTTTTTTTGTATGTCAGAATTTTACTCTAGTTTCCAAATATGTAATCCGATTTTGATAATACTGAAAATTAAAAACATTATTAAAGAAAAAGTGACCATTGAACAATTCTGTCCGGGCTACTATATTATATTAATGTATATTAATAAGTTGTCAAATAAGCTATCAAACACATCAAATTGTCAAATACTATGTGCTCTTGACTGTTTTGAACTATTAAAATGATCATATGAATTGTATATGATCTCATAATGGATATTTGTTATGCTTCATCAGAAGTGACTGTTATACCCTATGGCTGCTTTGTCAAAAATCACGAAGAAAATTGATTTTGTCCCTTTAGTTGCTTTTAATGTGTTCAGTGTGTTATTTTGTTGATGATATCTTAGCAATTTATTTGGGGAAAGCCGAATGTTTGGTTTAAACACAATAAAATCTTCACTCTTAATTGCAATTGATTAATTATTAGCAGATGGGTTAATTGATCAAGTGAGAAAGCACAAGTCTAATAAACCATTGAACAACATACCTTCTTTATGAGTCTCCTCATCACCCTGGCTGTCTTCTGTAGCAGATTGGGGATCATTAAGAATGCTCTGACTCGGCTCGTCTGTCGCCTCTTGGTCACATTGTCCGCCTTCATTTGAAACTATAATATATAATAAGCGTGAAGTTGAAGAAAGGAAAAACACATGCTCATACAATGTGCTGTTCTGTATTCACAAAATGTTTGTCCCAATTTCCATTTTCCCCTTCATTTGCTGAATTTTTATTTGATTTTTTTATTGTAACGTGATGTTAGTTTACCTACATGTGTCTGTTTCAAGTTTTTTGTGGATATATGATTTCAATATCAAAATACAATTACTCTCACTCTGATCAAGTAAAGAAACTCAATTACACCTCTAAATGTAAATTATCTATTAACACAAATAAACAGAGTCAAAACTATAGACTATACCAACAAATGTAATACCCGAAGCACACAATGGGCACTATCAATCACATTAAAGTTATATTTGGCTTCCGGTTTTGATTTCCATAATCATTTAGTTATTTTGATACTCAAACTATGGCCGGAATTCGCTTGCAAATCGTAGATATTGACCTTCAGTCACAAATCTTTAGATTTTATAGATCACAAAAAATTGTTAAAACTTGTGACAAAAATAGTACATTTGATTTAACATATACTATTACTGATCAAAGCCCCTGGCATGAGAAAAAATATTTTGCGTTTTTTGTATCAGTGACCGGCCTTCTTTGTTTTGCATATATATAAGATAGATGGTGCTGACTGTGATGTTTCATACCTGTTGGCCCTGTACCTGTTGCTGGATCGTTCAGAGCATCCTTAATGATCTCCAGTTGATCATTCTCTATTGCGTCCTCGAATATAAATATTCCCCGGCCGCTTACTCCTCCTCTGTACCTCCTTGGTTTCGCATATTCGCCATATCCTCCTATCTTTATTTCCTCCATTAGCTTTTCTTTGGATAAGCTTGTTTTAGCCAAGTATTGGTTGGCCACAAAGATGCCCGTTCTTCCCTTTGAAGAGCCCATCTGAACATAGTTGATTGCGACACCCTGAAATTAAACAATATATAATTAATTATGTTGTTCAGCTCTCAAAAGTTAATGGTATCTATGATGATGCTCAATCAGATGTCCTTTGTAACTAATATACCTTAAATCATACAACAATATTTGTGGAGAGAACATATATAACATATTGCGAAGTTTACAAAAAGAACTATTTTGATGCATATCGTTTGTGTTGGATATTTTTTTTAATATCCAAAGGTGTATGTGAGTGTATTCTAATTTGGACCAACTAATCAATAGACCCTTAATGTCCCCCGCAATGAAAGCCCTACAATGAAATAATAGCACGATCAATTCATAGAACGACCTACTGCAGGAGAGAGCGGGGTAAGATGGAACGCAAGGTGAGACGGAACGTTGGATTTTTATTGAATACTTGTTTAAAAGAGGTTACTGAAGTAAACTTTTTTTGAAAATACATCAAGTGATCTTTCTGTTCAACCACAATTTCTTGTCGGCTTCAACTAATACTTTAATAAAAATCCATCGTTCCGTCTCACCCTGCGTTCCATCTTACCCCGCCCTCCCCTACAAGACATACGTACGCGTTCATTCATGCATGTCTCAATGACATTCTCTAGAAATTTTTCCACAGTGCCCAGTTGTCTCTTGTGGAATGCCTGTATGTGGCGTCTATTTTTGTCCAAGTACACAACAATCATTTCCCTGACATCAACCTGTGTCATGGTGGACAATTGCATCAATATCTGGAAATTAATCAAATGAGAACATGTATCATTTAAAATAGCTTATATTTTTTGAAAAAGTATATCAATGTTTTGACCAGTTGATTTGCTCGACTGAAAAACCAAGATTGTGTAAACAAAACGAATAATAATGCCAATCTGTTTGGGGTGTCTACAAAACAAAGACCTAAGACCTACAAAACTAAGACCCCCCACGTTATAAAACCAAGACCCTGTTATAAAACTAAGACCCCCCACGTTATAAAACTAAGACCCTGTTATAAAACTAAGACCCCCATGTTATAAAACTAAGACCCTGTTATAAAACTAAGACCCCCCACGTTATAAAACTAAGACCCTGTTATAAAACTAAGACCCCCCATGTTATAAAACTAAGACCTTGTTATAAAACTAAGACCCCCCACGTTATAAAACTAAGACCCTGTTATAAAACTAAGACCCCCCACGTTATAAAACTAAGACCCTGTTATAAAACTAAGACCCCCCACATTATAAAACTAAGACCCTGTTATAAAACTAAGACCCCCCACGTTATAAAACTAAGACCCTGTTATAAAACTAAGACCTCCCACGTTATAAAACTAAGACCCTGTTATAAAACTAAGACCCCCCACGTTATAAAACTAAGACCCTGTTATAAAACTAAGACCCCCCACGTTATAAAACTAAGACCCTGTTATAAAACTAAGACCCCCCACGTAATAAAACTAAGACCCTGTTATAAAACTAAGACCCCCCACGTTATAAAACTAAGACCCTGTTATAAAACTAAGACCCCCCACGTTATAAAACTAAGACCCTGTTATAAAACTAAGACCCCCCACGTAATAAAACTAAGACCCTGTTATAAAACTAAGACCACCCACGTTATAAAACTAAGACCCTGTTATAAAACTAAGACCCCCCACGTTATAAAACTAAGACCCTGTTATAAAACTAAGACCTCCCACGTTATAAAACTAAGACCCTGTTATAAGAATCAGTCACCGTGCCTTGCTCTGCTCGCCACAAGGTAGTCTTGCCTCTGGGCCTTGTGTTCCCCAGTAACATACACAGGCCTGTCAACTTGGGAACACCTAACATGAGTGACTTGGAAATGTTGAACACCTCTCCTCAAAATGTGGACACCTTAGTCCAAATCTGAACACCTTGATCCAAATTTTGAACACCTTGGTTTAAATTATATTACATCTGGCCAAATTTTGAACACCTCAAATTTTTCGCGCTCGCTGCGCTCGCATTTCAAACAACCATCAACGGGGGGGGGGGGAGGACAAACAATTTCGAACGGAAAGTAATTCGCGTGAAAGAAAAGTCCGAACAAAATGCGTACATTTTTTCCGGCGTTCGTATTTTTGCTGTGTAGACGATCTTTTTTAGAAATTTTTCTACAGAAATATTTTTGCTTGACAATTAACAGGTAAAATGCGTATTTGCGTGACATTTTCTGTCACTCAAAAATAAGTGGCGTGACTTCAAATTCTTCAGCAAATGCGTGACAAATACGCAAATTGCGGGACAGTTGACAGGCCTGCATACAACAGCGGATTATATAAAAATGGACTGTAACAAATACCCGGATTTGTTGATTTTTAAAAAAAGTAATTTTTTGATATCACTTTTTATGCCCGGCATAAAAAGTGATATCCCATTTTATGCTGGCATAAAAAGAGATACTCCATTTTATGCTGGTATTGTTTTGGAAGTGATGTTTAATGGTAGTTCAAGATTTAAGACCCATCATTCTGGCACAGATTGCTGAACCATTGTTCGTTAAGCATTCCTAATAGAATTAAGAATTATTAGCTGAAACTGAGTTGTTTTGCCCTTGCAAACAATTTTCCAACTTGTAGTTCAACTTCTTCTGTCTATTTGTTGACAGTCTGTGATGTCATCATCAATCATCACAATAGAAATGAGGTAATTCACGATGACATCACAAAGTACTCTGATGACATCATCAATCATCACAATGGAAACGAGATAATTCATGATGACATCACAAAGCATCTCTGTCATAGATAGAACTCTGCCACATTTCTTAGAAATCAAACTACTATGTGACATCATAGATAATCTCACTGTCACAGATAGAATACACCTAATTCCCATTGTGATGATTGATGATGACATCACAGACTGTCAACACATATAGACAAAAATGAATTTCAAATGCATATTGGGATATTGTTTGCTAGGACAAACAGAACAGTTTCAGCTATTAATTCTTAATTCTATTAGGAATTCTTAACTAAAATACATGTAAGTTGCTTCTGGTCCTTTTATAACAGGGTCTTAGACCTGTATGTTACTGGGGAACTCGAGGGATAGAGCCGAGACTACCTTAAAATTATGTATATGTGTACATTACTAGGGAAAACAAGGGTCAGTGGCAAGACTACCATATGTGTATGTTACTAGGGTAAACAAGGGCCAGAGGCAAGACTACCATGTGTAGATTCTGTATGTGAGAAGGGAACACAAGGACCAGAAGCAAGACTACCTTTTGTAGAATCTTTATGTTAGTGGGGAGAATCTGTATATTAGAAGGGAACACAAGGACCAGAAGCAAGACTACCTTTTGTAGAATCTTTATGTTAGTGGGGAGAATCTGTATATTAGAAGGGAACACAAGGACCAGAAGCAAGACTATCTTTTGTAGAATCTGTATGTTACTGGGGAACACAAGGCCCAGAGGCAAGACTACCTTGATGCGAGCAGAGCAAGGCACGGTGACTGATTCTTATAACAGGGTCTTAGTTTTATTACGTGGGGGGTCTTAGTTTTATAACAGGGTCTTAGTTTTATTACATGGGGGGTCTTAGTTTTATAACAGGGTCTTAGTTTTATAACGTGGGGGGTCTTAGTTTTATAACAGGGTCTTAGTTTTATAACGTGGGGGGTCTTAGTTTTATAACAGGGTCTTAGTTTTATAACGTGGGGGGTCTTAGTTTTATAACAGGGTCTTAGTTTTATAACGTGGGGGGTCTTAGTTTTATAACAGGGTCTTAGTTTTATAACGTGGGGGGTCTTAGTTTTATAACAGGGTCTTAGTTTTATAACGTGGGGGGTCTTAGTTTTATAACAGGGTCTTAGTTTTATAACGTGGGGGGTCTTAGTTTTATAACAAGGTCTTAGTTTTATAACGTGGGGGGGTCTTAGTTTTATAACAGGGTCTTAGTTTTATAACGTGGGGGGTCTTAGTTTTATAACGTGGGGGGTCTTAGTTTTATAACAGGGTCTTAGTTTTATAACGTGGGGGGTCTTAGTTTTATAACAGGGTCTTAGTTTTATAACGTGGGGGGTCTTAGTTTTATAACAGGGTCTTAGTTTTATTACGTGGGGGGTCTTAGTTTTATAACAGGGTCTTAGTTTTATAACGTGGGGGGTCTTAGTTTTATAACAGGGTCTTAGTTTTATAACGTGGGGGGTCTTAGTTTTATAACAGGGTCTTGGTTTTATAACGTGGGGGGTCTTAGTTTTGTAGGTCTTAGGTCTTAGGTCTTTGTTTTGTAGACACCCAATCTGTTTGCTTAATACTGGTTCTGTTAATCTATGAATAAGCAAAACTGAATTTACAGTCTCTTCAAATACAAATTGCAATAAAGATATAAAAACCATGAGAACGAATCTGTTATTTACATGTTACATGCTTACCACTGGAAAAGCAAAAAAACGTATGAAGGCAATGCAATATGTATTTGATAAAATTTAAACAAGTAAGCATGAGTTGAAAATTTATTAGAAAATTACGTTTCTGGTATACTTATTATTGGTGGAAAAGTATGCAATTAGTATTACCTCTTCTGTGTACGCAAATAGCAACGCATACATCAAATGAGACTCATCGAGAATGTCTGGAAACTTATCCTTTATCATTTTTAGGTACGTCACTTCTATTCTATTTGGTGTGGGCCTCGCCCGAATGAACATGCCCACTAACGCCGACAAGCCTCCGTGTTTCACAGTTTGGTACATTACTTTGTGGTACCCTATCTCCTGGCTTGACCCTTGTATACTGTCCCCTGACAAGCATATATACACGCATCTTCTTTGAATCCTAAAATCGAGCATCAACATTTGTAAATGAATTGTTGTACACATATAAAAAACTTTTCTGAGAGGCACGCACGTTGACATCATATTTCGGGTCAAATAAATAAAATTGGGACATTTGGTGATATGAATGGATTAGGATATGGTCTAGATCTTTATGATCATGTTAAGAACACAATGCAGATTCATTTGGATCTTACCGTTCCTTAAAAGTTCTTGGGTATCATGGCATGATATTTGTATGTCATGCGATATCATATATTAATTTTAAATAGATGTCATGCCGTTAATATCTCCGAATCAAATGCAGTTGTAAGCCGTGTAATAACTAGAAATTGGAAACATATTTATCATCAATCATATCAAAGCAATCACATTGTACAATGATGATATGATATGCTATATGAAATAACATGATGTCCAATATGATTGCTATGATATGATTGACATGATATTGTATAATTTGATTGATTGATCAAGATGATAAATATGATATGATATACTATAAATGATATGATTTAATATGATTGAATATGATTAAATATGAACGATATAATTTAATCAGATTGGTATGATTTAATATAATTGAAACTAATTAATATGATGTAATTCGATTGCTATGACATGACTGACATAATATGGTATTATTTGATCGATATTACAGTATATGATAAATATGATATGATTGATATGATGTAATATAATTGATATGATTAAATATTGTTCATATGATCGATATAATTAAATATGATTTGATATAAGTTATATGATTAATATGATTGACAATTATAGATATCAAATTTATTTTTTAATGTTATTATACATTTAGCAGACTAAATGTAGGATAAGAATTGATTTAATGTGATTGGTAGTATTTAATATGATTATTTGATATCATTGACATGATTTAACCAGAGTGATATTAAATATGATTTGATATCGTTTATATAATAAATATGATTGACATGATTTAATATGATTTAATAGACACTATTATGTGAGTTCATAGCTGTAATATCTTACTTATGTCTTAGGCGTAATATGTTAATAAGTGTTAAAATTGTTAAATGTTGAGAAAAGTCGTATTATTGTGAAAACACAAAAGTTGTCCTAGTTCTTGACATTTACCTATAGTTGTTAAGAAATCATGTAGAGTGTAATAGTAAGAAATAAGAATAAAGTAAAGAGGCAAAAACAATAGACTCCAAATATTCATCTGGAATGAAAGGGAACATGACATGGCAAAGCTAATGGTTGGTTGCAGTGTCATATTAATTAAAAACTTCATTAGATGATATCATACCTTGGGTCGTCTGAATGCACAGCGTTGTTAGAGGACACGATCAACCCAGCTTTCACCTCCTCTGTGCCTCTATCGATAGTAACGCCCGTGGCCTGAGCAGTGTAATCAATAAAGGCTTCTTTGATGGTATTGATATACGCAGGGTCGTCAACAAGGACAGGTAGTGTAGACATTCCCCCAATCTTTGTAAGCGCCTGTTTTGTTTGAATCCTGACCAATTCGGTGTTTTCTCCTATTTAAAGAAAAAGATTCTCATGAGTTTTGCAGTGAAAGCTAATAATTAAAGTCAATGATGGTTCTAATATGGATTTCATGAGATCTGACATTTGGGAAAAATACAGTCATACTTGTGCTAACATATATCAATGCTAATATATATTAATAACATAATATAGTTGAATACCAATAAAACCATAAAATAATATTCTTTGTCTCCATCTGCTCGCACGCCGCTTGCACGATTTCGAGTTAATCAGAAAAAACATCGAAATAACATTTGCTACTTTAGGATACATAGTAGTTATTATATTGATAATTACATTTTGAGTGCGACCCATACTAGACAGGTTCCAATTCAAATAATTCAAGTCTTTGAGGCATTTTTTAGAAAAAGCAACAGACCTATTTTTACTAGATCAGTTTTTCATGCTGATAAAGATATTAAAAGATGACAGCTCAACGGGGTGGTCACGACACTAAATTTTGGCATTTTTACCCCCCTAGGAAAATATTCTAGGGGGTACTATGAAACTAGTTCATAACTCAAAGGATAGATGAGCTATTGTTCTGAGTTGTACACCATACATTGCTAGTACAAATATGAATACTATCTTAAAGTTATGGGTTGATACCCTTATTGGTCTCAGAAAAATACTAAAAACAGGAAAAAGATACGCAATTTTTGTCTTGCCAATTTTATATTTGTAGCTTCAAGCACAATATGACAGCTTTAACAGCTCATAGTAGTATTCTAAAAACATTTCTAAGCTATGTGTGGTATTGTAATACATCTATTTTAGTTATGAAGTACTATTTTGTAATTTTTATATGACTTTATAGTGCCCTACCCCTGGAAAATTGAAGAAAGTGGATGTGGTGGATTTTATCATTTTGCAGCATTAAGTTGGAAACATGTATTGATAGACACCAAATCAATAAATTCATACCATCATCAAATGTTAGGTGACATTCTAATTCATTTATTACTAGAATATAGGACTTAAGATATTTTATATGTAAGTTTTCAATTAAGTACATGTATCATAATGAAATCTAGTGAAATCACATACTAGAGAGGTTGGCATACAGTCTGGACATTGACATAAAGTCTAAACATTATAATCATCAATTGATCTCAAACTAGACTATGGTGGTCATCATGCACAAGTAATGTACAGTAGAACCTGCTAAGTGGAACACCTCTGTAAGTGGAACACCTCCCAAGTGGAACGCCTTTTCAAAGTCCCGTTTTAAAAACCCATTGACTTAATGTTAATTGAATCTCTGTAAGTGGAACACCTCCAAACTTGAACAGTGAACACCCCATATTGAAAAATTAACCTGCTAAGTGGAATAGTCAATTTCCATAGATTTCAATATTGATATATGTAAACAGAATTAATCTCCTTCAATGATATCTGGGTATGAAAACAGGTAATACTGTGATAATTGGCAAATTAGAATTTTAATGGATTTTAATGGATTAACCTCCTGTAGAGGTCAACATGTGATGCAACCAATAATTAATTTGATTATCAGGTTAATTGGATTAACCTCCTGTAGAACTGGACACGTGATGCTACCACTAATTAATATCCCTAAGTAAGATTAAAAATGTCATTTAAAAACAATTGAATTATTAACAGTAGGAACAAGTCTTAATTACTTAATTGCCTAATCCTTGTACCTGAGACTGGCACAATTAGGAGGATTAAGAATATCAGAAAACATTTTTGGCAGAATGAGGAGGATTAAGAATGTCAGATACCTTTTTGAGTTAAATAAGTGGATTATTAATGGTATATACCTGCCCTGTAATGAAGGGAGAATCATATTTCCAATGATACATATAAATCCTATATTTGATTTTGTATGTTCCCTGTGAACCCAAAACCTCTGTAAGTGGAACATCTTCTAAGTGGAACGCAGAGTGTTCCACTTACACAGGTATTTACATAATAATGTTATAAAGGAGCATGTAGGTTTTCGCAAACAACTTCAGACAATTCTAACTTGAATTATGAATATTTTCTGACCATGAACATGGGTATATCTTTTAGATCTATTCATTATCTTCAAGAAAAGTAAATATAATGATTAATCAGACCTAAGTGATATTAAAGGGAATGGCCCAATCAACATACTTTTTACTAAAAATGTTGACCTAATTTTTACCAAAGATGCAACCTTTAATTATATTGTTGAATGCATAATTAGAATATGCTTTGAGACATGTTCTATTTCCTAAGAGGAAAAGTGGATTGCTCCAGGGACTTTAAAGACACTGAATTTGGATGACCAAAATGAACTGAAACCAATGGATAGCATGAATTTTTTCAAAGGGGAAATAACATGGGGAACACTAATCTTAGGGGAATTCAGTTTTCTTTTCAAGAGCTATTTGATACATTAAAATAAAGAATAGTAATGCATTAAACATTGTTAAAATGATTGCATTTTTGGTGAAAATGAGGTCAACAACTTTGAAAAAATATATTGATGGGTTGATTGCTAGTGAAATATCTCCGAGTCAGATTGACTTTGTTATCCCTGTATACCTGTCTTCATGGTCAGAAAATAGTCATAATCAAAGATATAACCGTCTGAAATTGTTTGTGATAACTTACCTGAACCTTTCCAGGTCAAATCAGGAGTGACAAAATTATTTCAACCAAATTTTTGACATGTCTTCAAATACGATAATATTTTCTTCATAAGATAGAGTGTCACTTGTGAAATTTATTGATTGACCTGAGATCTTACCATATCTTTATGACAGAGAAGCGAAATAGCCATATTGAACTTTAATGATGTTTGTTTAATTGTTGTTTGCCACTTTTCGACAATTGTCAAAATTTGGGGGTTTGGGGGAGGGGTACAATTAGGTTAAAAAATTCACCTGATTCAGACTATCCTTAAACGAGCACTGATTCACTCGAGAGCATAACTTTTTCAAAACATGTAAGTGTTATTTTTGGACCATTCACATTAATGTTTCGTCTAATTTTCCCTTAGAGTTTCATCATCATTGTCCAAATCTTTGTTGAGATATTTGAGATATATGAATGTTCATTATTAAAATCTTGCCTTCCTTTGCAGTTGGAAAAGATTCGGCATTAGGTGTTATAAGTCCTAGAGCACGATAAATAAAAAAAATAACAACAAAATGACATAGAACTGATAGACGTTTTCTCCTGTGCGTGTCAGCCTTGGTCTACCAAATTGCTATTCAGTAGGAAGAAACTCATTTTTCAGTTTCCATTTTAATTTTCTGACAAATAGAGCGTAGCAACTTCTGTTTTAGAGAACAATAGAACAATAGAAAAGATTACTTTACCATAATTTTAATCATCCCACATTGTAGACATATTTAGAATTAAAAATATGAAGAGAATGACAAAACCTCTTAAAACACATTTCTTAGGAAACAAATAGTGTCGTATTCTTGTTACTATGGCAACAGAGTTTTTCTTTTTGTCATTTTTGTCATACAGATTACCTATCATACCAGGACCAAATCCTGAAAATTTGAATTCAGTATCTTCATTACTAGTATCTTAGATATATAGGTTTCTTATAGTGTCCCCTGCAGATTTTATCGGATGATATAAGGAAAATGCTCTGAAGAGGGTTGCCCAAGGATGCCACTTAACAGTTCTGGTATTTTTGAGGTCCCAACCCTCTATTCATGGGAATAGTTAACCATTGTAAAGTTTCTCATGGTTAACTGACAGAATTGATTGTATCTTCAACTAAGAAGACAATAAAATGTTAAAACCAGAAGAAAACCACACCAACTTTCTTCTATTTACCAGGGGTAGAGCACTATAAAGTCATATTAAAATTAAAAAATAGTACTCCATCACTATAATAGATGTATTACAATATCACACATAGCTTGGGAATGTTGTTAGAATACTACTTTGAGCTGTTTAAGTTATCATAATTTGCTTGAAGCTACAAATATAAAATAAGCAAGAAAAAAATGACAAAAATTGCATATTTTTTTCTAATTAATTGTATTTTTCCGAAACCAACAAAGATATCAACCTATAACTTTAGGGTAGTACTCATCTTTGTACTAACAATGTATGCTGTAGAACTCAGAACAATAGTTTATATATCCTTTGAGTTATGAACTAATATTATAGTACCCCCTAAAATAATTCCCTAGGGGGGTAAAAACGCTAAAATTCAGTGTCGTGACCACCCCGTTGAGCTGTCATCTTTTAGTATCTTTATCAGCATGAAAAACTGATCCAGAAAAAATAGCTCTGTTGCTTTTTCTAAAAAATGCCTTAAAAACCCTTTCCCTTGAGATATTCTGAAATTGGAACCTGTCTATACCTATACTTTGTAAATGCAAGCTTCTCTAATCAACCCTTCCTATTCCTATAGAATGTTATATAGAATCCAAACAAACAAGTTTATTTTCTTGAGTTGTTTGTTTTCCTCGTACCCTTGCATGATTTGAATTACGTTCTTTTCAGGGCATTTCAAAATGATATAAAGTGGCTATACTGTTTAAATACCTATTAAAGAACCCAAGAGTCGCAGACAACTAGTTTTGCCGGTGCCTGAGTGGCCATAGAGAATCACTGGTTGGCATCCTGCATAGGTCTCGCAAATATCCCCGGCGTGCATCGTCATGGCCAGCGCCCCCAATGCTATAAAGGCTGCGTCAACATTATGTTGGAATGAATCCCTCATTTGCTGTAAAAAAATAATTGGAACATATGTACATAAAAATAACTAGGCCTAATTAACCCATGAATAAACAATTGCCTACTTACACAGTCTATTCAATAAATTTGAATATATAATTATCGAGGAACTGTTTGACTTGATTTAAAGAGAGAATAGTTTTAATTTTAGAAATTCTCAAAATATTATGCAATACCTTTATTAACCCAGCTTGGACACCGTATCTCAACGGTGTTGTTACTTTGACTTCATGGGCACATTGTTTTCCACCCAGCTTGAGCATATATGTGGGTTCAATGGCATCCCCCAGGTCATTTATCTGCAACTATAAGAAGTTTAATTATTAAATGATGCACACTTTGCCATAGATGGCCACATTTCTTTATGATGCCTGGCCTTAGCTACGTGACACACATTGGGACTGCATATAGAGCAAACTTGACAATCATTATCTAAATAATTGTTCCCCACATTACACTCAAAAATATATTTAAAACGGTAACTGCTCAACTCGTACCCAAGACAACTCGTACCCAAGTATATATTTCGCTTTGAATCAAGCGTTGGACTGGGAATGTGAATAGATATACATATTATAATTGTAACATACTGTTCAGAATAGTTTAAAGTTTGAAGAAGAATTTTCGGAAGAAATTGATTTGATTTTGTGACATTTGAGCTTTGAATGTCAATTTATTTTGACTATTATTTTATATTGGTCAAAGATTCATTTAATCCAAATATTCATGATCATTTTTCAAATATTGTATATTCATGTGTGTTTGGAACAAGTATCTGATCTAATGTTGTAATTATAAAAAATATTGAGGCTTATTTGATTCACATTATACCATGGGCTTTCAACTCTAGTTGAAAGCCCATGATTATACCATGAAAACATTATTATACAAACTCAATTTTTTATGCACCCATAATTTTATGCACCCATAATACTGAAAATAATATTGGATACGAGTTGTCTTGGGTACCAGTTGTCTTGGGTACGAGTTGACTAGAAAGCTTTAAAACTCTCATATTACATTTAACAAGTGTTCAAAGTATTACCTTGTTGTTAAACAAATAGTGTCCATTTCGCTGGACGCCTGTGTGATTTACAAGGGTAATTATTCTCTCCCTACACACGTCTCTCGCAGACGAAACTTTTGTGAAGAATATCTTTCTAAACTCTGCATCCGATAAACGACACATAAGAGTTCCACACGCTGGAGAACTTGCCAAAAGCTCCTTTCGATCGGTATTGCCCGAAAGGACAACATTCCTGTGAAAATAAATGCACAACTTATAAGTCAGTGAAACATTTGAGCGAACATTTTGTTTTAATCGAAAGCATTGGCTCGATTTGCGTATTTATTTATTTACGTATTTCTTCGTCTAATCCTAAAATATGGTTCGTACACCTTTTTCAAAATGAAATTCCCTGACATTTTCCTGACATATCCAGGCAAAAAAAAGGAAATTTCAAGATCTAGTTTTGTATATGTACAGTATATGTATATTCTTAATTGTTTGATATCTCGTATAATGTTCACACTGTTCTTACAAATAGACAATACCAGATCAAAAGTCATTCAATCAACCCCAATAAAAAGATTTTCAATTTGTGGAAACAACTAAATGTTTAGTTAGATTTTGGATTTCATTGATATCATGTCATAGCCCTAAAATAATTTTGCTGGAGCATTATTTTTCAACACTGATACAAAATTCCCTGACATTTCCCTGACACATCTACTATTTCAAAATTCCCTGACATTTTTGCCCCTTTTTGACCTAATTTCAAAATTCCCTGACATTTCCAGCACCTGGAAAAATAAATCAATATCCCTGACATTTCCAGGTGTGTACGAACCCTGTAAAATGTAATTTAAAAGAAAAAAAACGGATTAAGTAGCTAAGAAAACATTACCATTTTATCGTTTGACGAAACCAAGCTCGATATACAGATAGGGCTGATACTTATTTAAGTGGAACATATTATAAATATATTTTATTTTAATTAGCTAGTCTAGCTACAAGTCCTTGCACAAGCTGTGTGAGAATATGTTTACTTAAGTGGAGGGTGAAACAGAGGCTTGTATAGTAAAATTTTAAATGAATTTTTGTGAATACTTTGAATTTAAAAAATAAGCAATCAAATGACCATATTGAAACGGTTTATGTAAAAATAGAAACATTTATATTCATCCTGACTTTTGTATATTTCAGATAGTAATGTATAATCTGCAGCAAAGCTGTGGCCTTTTGTAATTTAGGGATTGGTAATTTTTCCGAAGATAACATGGCAGAGGAGTATCAAAATATAAGAGGACACAGATATGATAGCTAAACTACAAAACAAACTAAAATATACAAAAGTTAGGATAAATATAAATGTTTCTATTTTTACATAAACTGTTTCAATTTGGTCATTTGATTGCTTATTTTTTAAATTTAAAGTACTCACAAACATTTAAAATTTTACTATAGCTAGACTAATTTCATGTTACAATGATATTAATCATAAGAAAGTGACGACATGGCCATATAACCTGTTATAAATTGAATGTTGAACTTACCACGTTGAGTCATTTGCATTGCCGTCATCTCTTGTGATTTTAACAAGAAATCCGTTTTGGCAGCCATTCACCTGAAAATGAATGCCATAAATAATGATCCATTTGTCCATTTATTTTTACTACCCTGCGTGCAGAGTCTAGTTAAACTACAGAAGACGAAGCTCTCTTTTAAGAAGTGAAGTAAAACGAATGCAAAGGGTATATTTGTGCCGGAAATTCCATAATAGGGGTGTCCCTGTAAAGGTGAGACACTTTTTGAGACGTATTTCTCAGCAATCTATTAAACAAATTCACTGTGAATGTGTACAAAATAGCCAACAAGTATCATTAGAGAGATTTCGCACATAAGTGAAAGTACAACTTATACGTATACGTATACTTTAAAGGGTCATGTCGAACTATTATATTTACTAAAATCAATTTTAAATTGTACTTAATGGAACATAACTATTCCCATTATAGAAAAGCTCCATCAACTAGAGACTGTGAATACACTGTCATCTGCACGTGTAGATTATGCACATTATAATTAAATGCTTGCTTCCGTGTCCTTGTAGTTGTGGTGTATTATAAACACGATCCTTTAAAGTGAGTCATGAATCTTTAAAGTGAGTCATTACATAAACAAGTTGATTATTTCAATGTTTTCATGATCAGTATAAGTTCAATGAACTTACAAAACGGTATATTTACGTAGATGATAACGTATACAGTTGGATCTCCGTATAAAAATTTGCCTACATGTGTGTGGAACAATTGACCACAAGCATTTTTAAAAATTAATTGGCTGAGTGGTAACAGTATCCAATCAAATACTTTAACCATCAATTTGAAACACCAATCAAACCAGTAGGTTCTAGCAATTCCTGGAAACGACCCATTCAGTAGCTCAACAAATGACATACAGGGTGTTTCATAACGAGCATCTCCAAAAAGTCAATTTGAGAAGAGATGGGTCTATAACATATGTCATGTAGTATACATGAGCCTATTTTATTCTAGACAAACACATTTGGATCAACTAAACATGCTACCATTCAAGAAAGTACAAATGGCATCCCTTTGACCTGTATTTATTACAGTCCGGGAAGATCTTTCCTGACGAAATGCCCACATTATGAAACACCTTGTACGTTTACCTATAAGTATAAGTATACGTTATAAGTTGTACTTTCACTAGGTGCGAAATCTCTCTATTACCAAGCTGTAAAAGTATTATAAAAAGGATTAAATAAATGTAATGCGAGGACTATAAGAAATTCAAAGTAGAATGTCAAAATCCCATTTTGTATTTTTGTAACTTGCTAATGATGCTCTTGGGCTGCTTTGTACATATTCTCAGCGAATTTGTTTTATCAATTGCCGAGAATTCAAAATACATGTACTTATTTGTCAGTGTTTCATTTTACTGGGACACCCGATATATCTTATAAAGATAGTGAGGGGTAATAAAGAAATTAACCCATAAGTATTTTCAGACCATTGTATTAAAGGGATCCAACACCTTACAAAACTTCTTAACGGAGAGGAATAGGGGAAAATGCTTGCCGGATTCTGAATCTGTGTATTTTTAATGATTTTTCACCGTCTTAGAATTTCAATTTTTTTCCTTTGAAATTGGTCTATAGGTATACACACACACTGCCATGGTGTACCCTGGGTACAGCTACGTCTGCTACGAGTATTTGATTGAAAATGACCACTTCATAGTATGTACTGTGTTGACTACGCCAACTACGCCTGATACACCAAAACATGAGTCTATAGGTATACATATACTCTGTAGGGTCACCTTATGTACAACTACGTCTGCTACGGGTATTTAATTGAACAAAAACAGTAAAGTATGTTTAATACGCCAACTACGCTTGCTACACCCAAACATGAGTCTATAGGTATACCACACACTGCCATGGTGTACCCTGGGTATAGCTACGTCTGCTACGAGTATTTTATTGAAAATGACCACTTCATAGTATGTACTGTGTTGACTACGCCAACTACGCCTGCTACACCAAAACATGAGTCTATAGGTATACACATACACTGTAGGGTCACCCTATGTACAACTACGTCTGCTACGGGTATTTAATTGAACAATAACAGTATAGTAGGTGTACTACGCCAACTACGCTTGCTACACCTAAACATGAGTCTATAGGTATACACACACACTGCCATGGTGTACCCCGGGTACAGCTACGTCTGCTCAGGTACAGCCATGTATACTGCTACGAGTATTTTATTGAAAATAACCACATCATAGTATGTACTTTGTTGACTACGCCAACTACGCTTGCTACACCAAAACATGAGTCTATAGGTATACACACACACTGTAGGGTTCACACACTGCCATGGTGTACCCTGGGTACAGCTACGTCTGCTACGGATATTTTATTGAAAATGACCACTTCATAGTATGTACTGTGTTGACTTCGCCAACTACGCCTGCTACACCAAAACATGAGTCTACAGGTATACATACACACTGTAGGGTCACCCTAATGTATAGTTCAACAAGTTAAACCTAGTCTGGGCCTTATTTCTTATCTGACATATCTTGTGGCCCGCCCTAGGTTTAACTTCCGTGCCTATTCGGCCCTTGATGCAAAAAAATTAAATGGTGGCCTATGGTAGCGCATGAAATTCTATGCGCGTTTAATTAATAACTGATGGTGAAAATTTGCAACATACGAAAGCATAGCACGGAAGTTAAACCCAACCACGGCAACACGAACATTCAGATTAAAAAATGAAAGCCGTGGTATTGGGTTTAACTTGTTGAACTACCTAATGTACTGCTACGTCTGCTACGGGCATTTATTTGAAGAAAAACAGTATGGTATGTTTACTACGCCAGCTTCGCTTGCTACACGGAAACATGAGTCTGTAGGTATACTCACACACTGTCATCGTTCACCCTAGGCCTACGCCAAATACGCTTGCTACACCAAAACATGATCAGGGTACATTACGTATGTACGCGTGATTTTACATGTTGGTTGCGCTTTCTACACATGTGCGAGCCTACCAAAGCGGCTTTGTATAAAAAAACCTCCTACCCACGTACCCTCGTACCCACGTACGTGGGTCCTGACCCAGTCTTTAAAGAGTTAAATCTTTAACATTTTTTAAACATTATTCTATCTCAATGTATGCTTAATTATGGATGAATTTATGTACCCATATGCCTTTATTTCTAGATCGGACATCTGTCTCGTCATAAAATAAAGCCGGCATTGCATAATGTTCATTTGAGCTATTTGAGTATTGTTTTTGATATATCGAAGCGATTTTTTGTTGATCGGGCGGTCTTACAGTGTACAACCAATCTATTGCTTGGCGCAAATTGGCCACATGGGGCATGTGTTGTAAAGTGCTGTAGTTTTTGACTCCATGAGCAGAATATGGTCAAACTTTCACAACAAAATTCACATTGAATGACCTGAATGATTCTGGATTGACAAAGTTATTCAACTTTTCATCGGTCCTGTTTTTTAACACCCTGTAGTTTCGATTTTTATCACATATACTTTTTATTCTTTCAAACGATATTACAAGTATTCATTGTTTGCACGACAGATTTGAACTATACGTGTAATTTGTCTTATGTCTTTTATTTAATTTAACATCAGAATTGGAGATACAAAGTGATAGAATGATCAATTCACACGATCTCAAGGAATAATAAAGGCTGCATTTCTGTTTAACTGTGGCGCAATTGAATAACGAAATATTTGAAAAGTAGAAGGATTCGCTATATTCGTTTTAAATCGCTTTTTGGCACAATTTAAGGATAATTGTGCGCACTAGTTCAGTGGATCATTTAGATGGAATTAAAAGTTAGAGTTGCCAAACTTATGCAGGGGAGTGTAAGTTTGGTTTTGTAAACTTCGACATTATTCATGGCCGTTTGATCCATAATTAGGTAATATGAAGAGTAGAGTTTTATTTTGACAATGATTTGATGTAAAACTGGTTTGAATGATAAAAGTTCAGCTTTGTAGTTTCTAGCTTTTTGCGCGTAAAACGTGAATACAATGGACAACAACGACACCAAATCTTTGACTAACATACGTTAATAACGTATAATATTCGTAAGAATGAATTCTAATAACATTTGAAATAAACATCTAATAAAATGTGGTGAATTTAATTGGTTCGAAACTCTAAGAAATATATTTTTAAAAAGATGTCAACTTTTGGACAAGGGTAAACTTCCCGGGACATTTACAATCTGCATGAGGTAACAGGAGGCACGGATTGCACTGAACGAAGGCTAGGAGATTGCTAATCAGCACTGATGTGTTATACAGGTAAGACTGCCCGATCAACAAAAAACATTGCGACATATCAAAAACATAAATCAAATAGCTCAAAAATAATGAACATTTATGCAATTCCGGCTTTATTTTATTTTACTAGAGAGATCAGACCTATAAATAAAGAAATATGGATGCATAAATTCATCTATAATTCAGGATAAACTGAGATTGAATAATGTTTTAAACATTTAAAAATTTAACTCTTTAAAGACTGGGTCAGGACCCACGTACGTGGGTACGAGGGTACGTGGGTAGGAGGGCTTTGTATAAAAAACCTCATACCGAACTACCCACCTACGTGGGACATGATACAGTCATTGGAGGGCTCAATTTTAAAGATTTAAAATCTCAGAATAGCTCTTCTTATTAACATTTCTACAATTCCGGCTTTATTTTACGACAAGACGAATGACAGATCCATAAATAAAGGCATGTCATAGGCGTAGCGCCCGGTACGCTGGGTACGCACGGGCGTACCAGATGGTTGCAAATTCGCTCCAAATACAACCAAAACCAGAGACCCCCCATAAACGCTTTTTTTTGCTTCGCTCAACTCTTGTTCCCACGGTGGCGTACTACTTACGCCCATGCATGTGGGTGCATTGTAATGGGGGCCCGTAATGTGTAATTACCCGAGGGGGCCCAATGGGAATAATTAACTAACGACCGCGAGCATAGGTCCAACAAGCCAGATAAAGAAATTGAAAGAAAGTGTGCTAAATTCGATGCCGGTGTAAGGACCTTTGGTCCTTTTGTTTGTATTTTTATATTTCATACAGTATTCTAAAACACTTTGTACATCACGCCTTGCTTTCCCTATTACTTTTATTATATCACTTCAGTATACTGTAGTTCTCATTTGCATTATGGCTGACGGTCTTCATATTGGTCACTACTCTATTGTGTCTCTGGACCAATCATATTTACCTTACCCTCAGCCTGTATCATTTGAGATTTAGTAAGTTAAACAGTAATGCTGTATTGGGACAGCCCTCTGTACAAACTGCATTATTTCTTTATTTTTGACCTATCACAGTTGCACAATTTGTCATGGCTAATTTACAACATCAATCTACACGTTCTTGACTGATGGTGCATCTTTGGTAGTGTCTTTGTCTGCTATAGCAGACTGTAAGCCTGGTACTCTGCTGACCTTATTGTCCAATCAAATTTATGTAATGTTTAATATCCCACCCTTTGACTCAAGAAGTGTGCCAGTGATTTATGGTTTTGTTGGATTGTCCAATGAGCTTGTTCTGAGACCCTATACCCAAAGCTGGCACTGATGGTCAGTGGGGGTATATAAAGGAATTCCACCCCTTGGGCCCTCAGTTTTCGCTCTTGACTCTCAGCAGCACCAACATTCAGCGCTTTGCCAGTTTTCAGTGGGATATTACATAACATAGCTTGAAATCAATTAACACATCTTGGAATTTGGATATTTTTGCAACTTTGGATATTTTACTATTTCGACATTCGCACTGTAATACAGTCAGCAGGGTATTAGCCACATGGCTTCAAACTCAGATGCCGTACACTGGGTGAGTTAAATAAATGAATCAGCACAGTGAGATATATTATTGAACACTCTTCTATTTTTCTTATAATTTCTACACTTGAGTATTTTGACCTAAACTTCCAATCACATGTTGTAACTTCTTGTTCTTTATTTATTGTCACTGTGCTTGACCACTGGTTAACTTTTCCAGGCTGAACGCCATTATTACTAGATTAGTTTGTATAAAATAATTAGTGTATCTTAAAAAGGAGTTCATTATATTACATAATAATAATTAGTATATTATATCATTGTTGAACCAAATTCTGCATGTGGGTATGATTACTGGTAGTGCTTTAAGAGGTATATTTCGACTTTGACAATTAAATTGCCATTTAATAAAGACTACAATTATATTGATCTTAACTCATGTTGTGTTAGAGTTTTGTTTACCTGAACCATTCTTGATTATTTGATCCAAAATTAATTATTTCCCGCTAATATTCAAACGCCCCCACGAAACTGCAACCCCTCATCAAAACACCAAAACACTTTGGGTCGTTACATAATTTGGCGCAGTCGGCAGGATTTATATGTAATTTATTGCATTTATTGGTTACTTCCATGTAACTACGTACTTGGGCATTCCATTTCCATTAATTTGCTTTGATCGCTGAAACACTGGTTATTACTTTCATTGTCATCACGGCTCTAATTTTTTTGTTCGGTGTGCTATTTTAAGTGTACATTAATCACAAGTATATGGGTTACCAACTTTGAGCGTGGTCGCTCTTAGGTATATTTTTTTAGCGTATTGGTTATTTTTTGGTGTATACTTATTCCGTTTACGGAATTTCGGTTTGGACAGAAACAGCAATATATCTAGTTAGATAAAAGAGTGTACTATTTTCCCGATCTGCGGGAGTCCAAACAGAAGTGTCTGTCCAATGCACAGCACGGGTATATATTTTTTATTTTTCAAGTGTCCTTCATAGGAACATTGGTAATTTTTTGGTGTATACTTATTCCGTTTACGGAATTTCGGTTTGGACAGAAACAGCAATATATCTAGTTAGATAATAGGGTGT